TAGCAAGGAGGGAAGTGATTAACTTTTCAGTCTAGGAACAGAGGTCCCTAGGACCATCAAAGGAGAAGAGTGGAGAGCGGGACCCTACCCAGAGAAACAGTGATGCCTGAGCTGGAGGCAGAGACGATGATGTGGAGCGATGGAGCAGCTGGGGACTTTAGATCCAGAGAAGGACTGTGTGCTGAAGACCGGGGGTGGGAGGTGGGAGGGACAGACTTTCAGGGTATACCCTTTGGTTGGTTGATGATGCATGGAGGGGATTGTAACCTTGGTAATGAGACGATATACGATAGAATGAATATAAAACTAAGGTTCTCTCATGTAAACTATCACATAATTCACAATAAAACATTTAAAAAAATGACTGAGTTTGAGAGCTGAGTAAATGAACACTTATTAAAAATTTCACTGATTTGTTTGTTAATAAAATTGGTATCTAAAAATAAGCTTGGGCCTGCTGTTCTTTCATTTCATCTCATGCTCTTAGTTCTTTTTGCAGGATCTAACAGGACATTTTCCATCAAAGCAAATAAAATCTGAGGAAAAATTTAGCAGACTGATTTGTTGTTGTTGTTAGGTGTTGTGAAGTCAGCTTGGTCTTATAGTGCGACCCCATGAACAACAGAACAAACAGTCCAGTCCTGCACCCTCTTCACAATTGTCATGCTTGGGCTATTGCTGCTGCTACTGTGCCAAATCATCTCATTGGGGTCTTCCTCCTTTTCGCTGACCCTCCATGATATCCTTTTTCAGGGACTGTTCCTTCCTGATAATACGTTCAAAGTATGAGAGACGAGGTCTAGCCATCATGGCTCCTAAGGAGCATACTGGCTGTATTTCTTCCAACATGGATTTGTTTGTTCTTCTGGAAGTCCACAGTACTTTTAATATTCTTCTCCAACACAATAACTCAAATGCATCAATTTTTATACACTCTTCCTTATTCATTGCCCAACTTTCAGATGCATATGAGGCTATAGAAAATACCATGGCTTGGGGCAGGCACACAAATTGACATTTTTGCTCTTGAATACTTTAAAGAGGTCTTGTGCAGCTGATTTACCAAATGCAATATGATGCTTTATTTCTTGACTGCTGCTTCCATGAGTGTTGATAGTGGATCCAAGCCAAATGACGTCTTTTGAAAACTTCGGTCTTTTCTCCACTTATCATGGTGTTCTTTATTTGTTCAATGGTGAGGATTATTTTTTTTCCTTTACATTGAGGTGCAATGAAGGCTTTGTTTGGTCTTTCACATCCATCATTAAGTATTTTAAATTCACTTTGCTTTCAGTAAGCAGGGTTGTATCATCTTCATATCTCAGGTTGTTAATGAGTCTTCCTACAATCCTGAAACCACATTCTTCTTCACATAATCCAGCTTCTCAGATCGTTTGCTCAGCATACTGATTGGATAAATATGGTGAAAGAATACAACCCTGACACATACCTTTTCTGATTTTAAACCATTCAGTATCTTCTTGTTCTGTTCAAGCTACTACCGCTTAGTCTATGTACAGATTCCTCATGAGCACAATTAAGTATTCTGGAATACCCATTCTTTTCTGTGTTATCTATAGTTTATCATGATCCATATAGTTGAAAGTCTGCACAGTCAACAAAGCACTGGTAAAAATCTTTCTCCTGTTCTCTACTTTGAGCTAAGAGCCATCTGAGTTCAATAATAATATCTCTCCTTCTACATTTTCATTTGAATCTGACTAGAACCTCTGGCAGTTATCTGTCAATGTACTCTTGCAACCATATTTGAATTATTTTTAGCAAAATTCTACTTTCATGTGATATTAATGATATTGTCCAATGATTTTCACATTCTGTTGGGTCACCTATCTTTGTAATGGGTCTTTGGATAAGGATCTCTTCCAATCAGTTTGCCAGATAACTGTTTTTCAAATTCCTTGACAGAGATGAGTGAGTGCCTCCAATGCTGAATCAGTTTGTTGAAAGATTTCCATCAGTTGCCAGAACCTTGTTCTTTGCCAATGCCTTCAGTGCACCTTGAACTTCTTCTTTCAGTATCATTGGCTCTTGATCATATGCCACCTCTTGAAATGGTTGAACATCTACCAGTTCTTTTTGGTACAATGACTCTGTGTTTTGAAGCATCTTCTTTTGATGCTTTTTACATCATTCAGTATTTTGCCACTGGAGTCCTTCGATATTGCTAGTCAAGTCTTGAATTTTTTCTTTAATTGATTCAGTTTGATAAATGCTTAGTGTGTTCTTCCCTTTCAGTTGTCTAACTCCAGGTGTTTTTGTATTTCTTTATAATACTTGACTTTTTCTTCTCAAGTTGCCCTTCAAAATTTTCTGTTCAGCTCTGGTACCTCCTCAATTCTTCCATTTACTGTAGCATCCATATGCTGGAGAGCAAGTTTCAGAGTCTTTTCTAATATCCATTTTGGTTGTTTCCTTGTTTCTTGTCTTCTTAATGACCTTTTGCTTTCTTCCTCTATGATATTCTTGATGTCATCCTACAACTTTTCTGGTCTTTGGTCGTTAGTGTATAATACACCAAATCTGTTTTTGGGATGACCTCTAAATTCAGGTGGGGTATGTTCAAGGTCATATTTTGGCTCTTGTGGACTTGTGTTAATTTTCTTCAACTTTAGCCTTAACTTACATTTAAGCAATTGATGGTCTGTTCCACAGTCTGCCCCTGTCCTTGTTTTGGCTGACGATAAGGAGTTTTCCACCATCTCTTTCCACAGATATAGTCAATTTGATTTCTGTGTATTCCATCTGGTGAGGTCCATGTGTATAGTCATCTTTGTGTTGTTTAAAAAAGATTTTTGCAATGAATAAGTCATTGGTCTTGCAAAATTCTAACATACAGTCTCCAGCACTGTTTCTATCACCAAGGTCATATTTTCATATTGCTGGTCCTTCTTCTTTTGTTTCCAACCTTTGCATCCCAATAGCCAGTAGTTTTCAATACATCTTGATTGTATGTTTGATCAATTTCAGACTACAGAAGTAGGCTTTTGTTGTTAAGTGCTGTCAAATTAGCTCCAACTCATAGCAACTTTGTATAGCGTTTCTGAGGAGTGACTGGTAAGTTTGAACCACCAACCTTGTGGTTCCAATCAACCTTGTGGTCAAGTGCTTATCCTACAGCACCACATCAGGTCTCCAGGCAGAACTAGGTAGAATTCTTCAGTTTCATCATCAGTACCTTAAGTGGCTGATGCATAAATTTGCATAGTAGTGATATTAGCTTGTCTTCCTTGTATGTGTATGAATATTATCCCATCAGATCACAGATAACATTATACTTCCAGACCTTAAAATGCTCAATTATTTTATTATGAATCAGACACCATTTCTCTTTAATTTGTCATTTCCACCATAGTAAACCATATAATTCATTAGCCACTGAAAACCTTATGAATAGCAGTGGAACACTGTCAGCACCAGAATATTGAATATTGAATCATTATAGATAGCACCAGAATATTGTCAGATATAGTGCCAGAAGATGAGCCCCTCAGGTTGGAAGACACTCAAAATATGGGTAGGAGAGAACTCTGTGCTTTAAGTCTAGTTGTCCATGATGCTAGGAATAGAGTAAAGCTTTGGGGACCTTCATGGGCTGATGGGACGCAATTCAAAATGAGGAGAAACAGCTGTAAACTTCCATCAATAATCGGAACATGGAATGTAAAAAGTATGAATCTAGGAAAATTAGAAGTTGTCAAAAATGAAATGAAATGAATAAAGATTGATATCCTAGACGTTAGTGAGCTGAAATGGATGGGTATTGGCTATTTTAAATCAATCATATTTCTTACTATGCCAGGAATGACAAATTAAAGAAAGATCAGATTGATTTTTCTTCAAATCGATTTTTTTTAAAAAAGAATGAATATCTCTAAAACATTTTCAGTTATCAAGAAATAATTTACTTGCCACCCCTCTTTTCTTTCTACTGCAAAGATAAAAACCGCAATCGTCTATTTGATCAAAAAGAAAACATGGGGAGGAAGTGGGTTAAGTAGTATTATATTGTGGGGATTGTAATCACTGAGATGAAACAAAATGTGTATGAACTAGTGCATGGAAAACTGATCTGCTCTATAAACCTTTACTGAATTTACAATAAAAAAAAAATTAAGACACAAAAACAATTCCGTTTTCTTTTGTCGTTTTAGGTTTTTTTTTTGTGACCTTGCAGTTAGCCCTTGGGGTAAAACAAAAACATAAAACTTTTCTTTGTTCCATGATACGATGTCTGTATCTAGCAAATGACTTTTACAGTCTTGCCATTTAGATATTAGACTGATTATTTTTGACCCAGGATTTACCATGGAGGTTCTAGTAAGATTTTTAAGTTTTTCTATAATTTTTGGGAAACAGAAGAAAATACTCCTATTAAGATGTCACCTACCTATTTATAGTTATTATAACTAAGTATCTTTGTCACAGAATTCAAAAGACAGAGAATTGGGCAAAGGCAGGTGGTGTTTCTAACTCAAGTTAAAACCACTGTGATTGTATTTCCATAGGCTTGTCAAAGTGTAGGCCTTCTCAAGAAGGATGCCATTATAATTCACTCAGGGTTGTTTACAGTGTATTGTGTGTTAGCCATTTAACACCTTAGGCATAATGTGCTTATATCCCTGATGGTCTAAAACATGATTTGGATTTGGGTATAATTTCATTTCATTAGCCTTTAAATTATGATTACTGTAAATGATTATATTAACACTAGGTATTATTATTTCCTTTCATTAGTATGGCATTTTATCGTGCAAATTCTCAAAATAAAATTACTATGTTTTATAAGAGGGAAAGCCGAGGCTTCCGAGGGCCAAGAGGCACACTCAATACTATTATAAGCAAATTGATCCCTATGATATGAAACTTATTTCTCAATAAACACACACATACATACACACTTTCCTACTTCCATAATTCTTGGAAAAACTGATGCAGTTACCTTCATTGCTGGGGTTCCCCAGAACCTTCTTAACCTCTGCATTGGTGGGATTGGTTCCTAGAGCCCGAAGAACATCACCAACCTGGCTTAATGTGATCTTGCTTTCACCTGTCCTGTCAAACAGGAGAAACGCCTCCTTGAAATCTGTAAAATGAAAGGAACATTAGGGTGCTTTTCTCTACCTCAGACCTATTCATTAACCGCAACTCTACCAAGGACCCAGGCCAGGTTCTTCTCTAGTCTCACAACTTTAACCAAGCGCTCAGGCTGATGTTATTCTTTGGACTCTTTCCTGTACTGGATAACACAATCACTGGCAGACTCTTAAGTCACATCCTATTGGGATAGGACTATTTTAAAGCAGCCTTTCCAATTCCAAGTCATTAATTGTTATTAATCAGGTATGATAACTGTAGTTTCTAGTCATATTTATTCAAATTGCCTTCCCCTGCCTGGATGGAAGTCAGGGATGAGGAGGTCTTGAGAAATCCTACAATCCCTCATATAATGAACAAAGTTGATAAAATCGTAGGAAAACAAAATTTCAAACAGTGTTGTGTTAAATAAGCTTCGTCTGAATTGTCCAAGTTATATAAATAACCTCTTTTTGGTGTATGAATTTCCTAAGCTCTACCTCTAGTGGAGTCCTGGTGCGGCACTACAGGATAATGCACTAGATTGCAAGATTGGTTTGAACCACCAGGTTGATAGTTCAAATCTACCAGCTGCTCTTTGGCTGTGAGTGGCAACTGATTCGATGGCACTTAACAAGAACAACTTCTAGGTAGCTTTCTTCAGGAATAACTTCACCTTTAATGAAAAATTTACAAATGAGAGACAAACCTCTAAGCTGTATAATCTTTTCTAACCAGATTTATGTATGACTCTAGTAAACTTTTTATATAAATGATTCAGAAGGAGAAATATATTTGTTCCGATCTGTTGATATGGTAATGTCTTCAAACATTATTCTTTTTTTTTCAAATAATATAAGTACATATAAGACTATGTTGCCATACCAGATTTATAATTTAAGGGCACATTTTTCTACCAGTGTTTTATTTTGTTATTATTAATATTTCCATTAATATTTCACAACATGTAGTTGTGAAAAACTAATGCAGAGGGATCCCTTGTACAATTTGCTCTGGTGATTTCATTTTACAAGATTATACTATAACATTTCAACCAGGATATTGACAGTGATACCACCTACCAATCTTATTCTGATTTCCCCAGTTTTACTTCTACTCATGTGTGTGTATATTAAGTGCATGTTTTTTAAAGTGTGACGCTGTGGGTTAATGTGCTGGATTGCAAGGTCAGTTTGAACCAAAAGGTTGGCAGTTCAAGCTCACCAGCTCCTCCTTAGAAACCCTATACGGGCTTGCTATGAGTCAGAACCGACTCAACGGCACTTAACAACAACAACGTTATTATCATAGTCACTTTATTAGTCACTTTTTCTAAATTTTACCATTCTTCTTTGATAGAATTTGATTCACATTTAAGAATCACTTTGACAGAGAATTTAGAACTATACAACAAAAAGGACTAAGAACACCTCTGTGGAATTAGGAATCAGTAAGTTCATTTCAACTGAACCTGAGCATCACTAAATGACAATTTCTTGGGAAACCAAAAGTACTGAAGTCAACTTGTTGGAGTTATTAGCAATACTCAAGAAATCATTTGCGATTGATCTGGTCAAGTTGAAAGCACTCTTTGTAGGCCATCAGTAATCTTGAATCAAAAGATGCTATCTAGGTAGATTATTCAGCACTATATCCTCTTACTATTCCTCTATCTTAATAAAATATTGTACCAGACACTAACACAATCACCTATATAGATCATGTTACCATTCTTTGTTAAAATTTCCTCCTAAAATACAAATTTGTCATTTCCTTAATCTAAAAAAAAGATGCTGCTGGTATGGTGGTGTCATTTGTTAAATAACATTTTTTTTTGTATCTTTTAAAAGGACATACGAAACTGAGCTATTATGACTGGCTCTAGGCTTATATGCACAGATTTCTGAGGGGACTCATTGCAACCCGGGTCAGATGCTGGAGTAGAAATCAGGCTTTATGGGCTGTAATAGAACCTCTCTGACCTTAATTCTTTGATTGCTTTAAAGGCAGGGTAATCCAGATTTTTAATCCACCCAGTGATGCTGCAGAAGGAAAGGCTTGCTGGTTGACTTCCATTAAGACTACAGACAAGAAAACCCTATGGAGCAGTTCTCCTCTGTAGCATTCAGTGTTATCATGAGTTGGAATCAGCTCAATGGCAACTTCCAACAGTTCCAGATTTTAGAATGAAGACTTAGTTATTCTCTTAAAGAGTTTAGAACACGGGTCAGAAAATTATGGCCCAAGGCCTGACTGCCTGTTTATGTGAATAAAGTTTTATTGAAATATGGCTATGCTCATTCCTTTGAAAATTGTCTATGGTTGTTTTCATACCATAGCAACAGAGTTAACTTGTTGTGATAGAGCTTGGACTACCAAACAAATCATAAATACTTACTATTTGGCCTTTAAGAAAAAGTTTACCAACTACCTGGTCTAAAGCTGTACTGGTCTAGAACTTTACGTGATGATGAAGAAATTTTATATTAATGTTACCCAAAAAGGTAACTACTAGCCTTGTAGCTCTTGAGTAATTAAATGTGACTAGTGTGATGGGGCTCTCTGCTCCCTAAAGATTTACGGCCTCGGAAACTCTATACAGGGATGTTATATCAATTCAATGGCATGTGGCAACAGTGCAACGGAGGGAATAGAATTTGAAAATGTATTCAGTTAAATTAATTAAACCATAAAAAGCCACAGGGGACTAGTGGCTAGCTTATTGAATAGCACAGGACATAGACTTTTATGATGCTACAATATTCATCAATTTTCCATTTTTTCTTTATTCCAACCCTGTGATACATTCAAATAAAGTAGCGATATGTGACGTTCTTAGTCTTTGCACAAGGAAGCAAAAAAACGGAAGTCTTCATTCATTTCTGGAACTATTGGGTTTTTATTTAATTAAAAATGTTTATTTTCCCAGCACAAAAGGAAGCCAGTTTACCATACCAATGTTTACCAAAATTTCTATATATGAAGCAATAGGCTTAATGCCCAATAAGAAGCCCTCTGCCTCCTGCAAGGGTTTTTAAATCTTTCATTGCTTGGCTCTGCCTTGGTTTGGCAGTCAAAAGGACATTGTAATTTAGATATTTAAGAAAACTGGGATTTAGTAACTGATAATGTAGCCTCACCACTAGTCAAAAATGCACTTAAAATAAAACATTATTGTAGACTCACACACTGTTTTCAATAAGATAAAAATAGTCTTTCAAAGTATAATTTCAAAGGATCTTGAGTTTTGAGTCATCAAATCATCTAATCTGTCTACTTGAGTTCATCAGACATATTGTAGATGCATGTGAGTTTGTTCTCACCTTATAATTACTTAATTGAGGTCCAAACATGACATATTTCAGATACTGAAACTGACTGAAAGATGTTGAAATCTTTAGGTAGAAAACTGAATATTTTAATAGTCACTAATTAATCATCTTTGTTGTTGTTGTTAAGTACTATCAAATTGGTTCTGACTCATAGTGACCCAGTAGAGGTTCTCAATGAGTTGGTGGGTTTGAAATACTGATCATGTAGTTAGAAGCACTTTATTTACAGTGCCACAGCAGGATTCCTCATCTATAGTAACTTATACATTATAATATGTATAGTATATATGAAGGGGTTTCAAAAACCTCGACTTCAAAAAGTATTGCATTAAACAAATCTGCTGCAAAAGACCTCTTTAAAGTGTTGAAAAACAAAGATGTCAGTTCGAGCACAAAGGTGTGTACCTGACCTAGGCCTTGGTATTTCCAATCGCCTCATATGCATGAGCTCTGATAGAGTAGTGTTTACAAATCAGGCTGTGAACCACAAGGTCAGCTGTTCAAAACTACCAGCTGTTCCATGGGAGAAAGATGAGGTGTTCTGCTCCTGTAAAGATTTACAGCCTCGAAAACCCTGTACAGGGTCACTATGAGTCGGAACCGACTCCACGGCACACAGCCACCAACACCACCATATTCATGAGAAAGTTGGACCGTGACTAAGAAAGATTGGAGAAGAATCAATGCATTTGAATTATGGTGATGGAGAAGAATATTGAAAGTACCATGGATTTCCAGAAGAACAAAGAAATCTGTATTGGAAGAAGCACAGCCAGAATGCTCCTTAGAAGCAACAATGGCAAAATTTCGTCTCATGTACTTTGGACATATTGTCAGGAGGTACCAGTCTTTGGAGAAGGACATCATGCTTGGTAAAGTAAAAGGTCTGTGAAACAGAGACATCTCCTAATGAGACAGATTGACACAGTGGCAGCAACAATGCCCTCAACCATAATAATTGTGAGGGTAGTGCAGGACTGGGCAGTGTTTTCTTCTTTTGTGTATAAAGATCTCTATGAATCAGAACCAACTCAATGGCACTTAACAACAACACCAAAAAAGTTTGTGGGAAAACTGAATCAAAAACAATAATGGATTTTTTTCCACAAACGTTTTGAAGCCCCCCTTGTACATTCTTATTATTATACCAATATTTATATGATTTAATGTGTTTCAGTCTTATTTCATTTGGATATATGCTACTTACACACCATAAAACTTTCCTCCTTATAGTGCTCAATAAAATAAAAAATAAAAATGAGGGGAACTAGTAGTGATTTGTTATGGGATCTGTTGGATCCAAAGTTCAGAAGGAAAGAAATAAATGGAGTCTTCTGTTAGTAATTAGTTCATGAAAGAAATGTGTAATTGATTTCCAGTTTTTGGTCATATGACTAATTCATTGGTTGCTCGAGTAAGTCGTATCACCCTGTATGGAACCTGTTCTTCATCTTTAAGGAGGCGTAGAACTTGAGGTTTTTAGCATTTCTTTTACAATTCTATGATTAATTACTTCTTCCTCTTTGTATCTTAATTCAATGCTATTCTTCATTGACTTCACTTTTTAAATCTCTCAGTTCAACATTAGAATTATTTCAAAGAAAAGAAAATAATGTACATTTGGTAACTGGCCAATAGTATAATCAGTATTATTTTCCAAACTGAAAAATGTGGACCTGTGAAATCCTTCAAGAATTTGATTAAGAAATTAGCCATCCAAAATCTATGACTTCTTATCAGTATATAGGGTATTACCTATTGTGTTGAATAGGTTTTAATTAGAGAGTCCTGAATATGAGAACCTATTTTACAGTGTGCCTTTTGTTTGTTTATACCTTTGGTTACTGATTTGATTACAAGTAAGAGATTTGAGTTGTGAGTATTTATATTTAGAGTGATTGAGAGCATTTATATTTAGAGTGGCAATACCAGTGGGGATAATTAGGAAGAGCTAATCTCGTCCCAAAGGAATAGCTTTTCTCACATGCCATCTTTATGCGTGTACACATGTTAACAACTATATCTTTAAACTTACCATCCTTCTGTGCCTGAGAGAACTCGATCTGTTAGAAAGAAATTAATCACAAAGAATATTTTAACCAAACAAAAATGTGCTGATTTTTATGCATATCCAGCTCATTTTCTGAGTCATCTTCAAAGGAAGCTCCACAATTGAGCCTGCTTTTCAGAGTTCAGACATAGCTTGGATACTACCAGGTTGAACCACAAAGTAACATGCCTTGGAGATAGGTGATATTTCGGAAACTAGGCAGTGCTCTGCCTACATCCGGAATATAGAAGCTCAATCCACTTACCAGCAATCTGGTCAGCACTGAAGGACTGCGGTGGCGAGAGAAAGAGAAAGAAAGAAACAACTAGTACTCTTTCAAATGCATTGACAGAAGAATGAGTTCTCTGCTGTTTGTGTTTTAGGAAAGTGTCATAGCATCAGAAGGTTGTCTTAGGGTAGTTTTGAATCTAGAAACATAGAAAGCTATTACAAAAGATCATTAAGGAACATCTCTGCATATCTTAATCAATGGATTAGTGATTTGATAAATGCTAGATCAAATAATTCCTGGAATAATGTAATAATCTATAGTATGCTTAAGGTATCTCTAATACAGAGACACTACAGTAAAAAGTACCACCATACTACATTAAAATGATCACTTTAAGTTTATTGCTTATCCAGCACGTTTTTATATTAGTAAGTAACATCCAATGTATCAAAACCAGTTTACATAGTTTTAGCTATTGGCATCATTGGATAGTATTTTAAGGAGTAATCTTTTGCTGTAGTTGCAGTTTTTCTTTTTCTAAATTTAGATATTAATAAATCTCATGAGATATAGTAAAAGTTGGTGAAGCATAAAGCACTGCTTTGGGAGTAAGATGGATTTTTCCAGGTGGCATAATCAGCTATCATTATTCTCTCTTATCCTTGACTCACCTCAACAAAAACCAAAAGTAGATTCTAAAGACTCAAACTTGAATATATGCTTTCCTCAATTCTATATCTTGTCTGCCTTTCTTCTCACAAGATCATACCCACTATCTTTACTCTCCTATAAATGACAAATAGTTTTCTCAAAGGACCCACCATGATGGAGTTCCTGGACTGCAAAGAGCGGCGAAGCTGAAGAGCGTGTTGAGGGCTGTTCCGGTCCCTGAGTAGGAGCCTCTCTTGCTAAGGTTTCCTTTTATTTCTGGGAGAGCTCTGACCTCAGAGTCAGCATTAGATTTCACAGAGATGTTGCCACTCCCCTTGATGAGTTATTTAGCTTTCTTAGGGCAAAGGGAAAAAGGGATCTGTACCCGGAAGGCTATTTTTAGGAAACCAGAACCTAGGAGTGGATAGCCATAGAGAGGCTGAGACTATCAGTACTTTTATGGTCTTTGTCTTTGAGAAGTACTCTTGGAACGTATTCCTTTAAGAAGCTTCTCATTTGTTCAGTGGCAGAGGAGTTTAGTATGTCTCCAGTGGCTTGGATTGATCCCTTCACTTGGTCAATAATATACTTTGAAAACTTCTAGTCAGCAAGTTTTTAGATTAATTGAACTTTTTGGGTGGAACTGGTTTGGGATTTTAAATGGGAGTTGCTGTAGGAGGAACATTCTTAGGAGTTCTGTCCCTTATGGTAAAGTTCAGACGACTTGATAAGATCACACACATTCCATGTATTTCTTAGGTTCACCCACATAACGGTTGGACCTGTTCCTGAAATCTGTCAAGGACGCTCTTCTTGCAAGTTGTAGTTACAGAAATATGGAGTTTTGCTGATCCAGGATTGGTTTCGATGGTGGGGTTTCAAGGTAGTTTATCTGAAATGGGTGTACTTGGAAAAGATCCGACCTAAGGTGTCCACTAAATTTCATACATGTTTACCACCTTTTCACATATTTAGAGAAGCTCACAGAAGCAGGAAATATTGGAGATGAATAATATCTTGCATACGGCTTTAGCAACTGTTTGTATGGGGCTTGGTCACAAAAAAAGCCTGTACTCTCCTTCTGTGATTGTAATTGGTAGTTGCTATGGAGTTGATTCCCCCTCACAACACCCCCTATGTGCAGAACAGAACCAAAGACTTTTCAAAAAGCAAATCCCAAAGTCTGTCTTCTCAGGCACTTCTGGATGATTGAACCTCCAGCCCAGTGTTTAATCCTTTGTGTCACCCAAGGCAGATGTATAATTTTAATTTCCTTTCAACCCATTTGGGAAGAAATCAAGATTTAGATACCTATCACGTTTTGCCTAAAGTTTACAAATAGTGAAAAAAATGTCATAGGGACTCGAATCTCAAAATGGGAATCGAAATGTTTTAATTTTTAAATTAATTGTTCCAGTATAAAATACCTTCATAAATAGATTGACATTTTGAGATGGTATTGGGGAAAAAGGAAAGGGTAGTATAACATTTAAAATGCTCTGAATCATTAGGGGGAAATAGAAAGTATAGGCAAAGGTGGAAATTTACAACATTTGATAAAGGTATAATTGGAGTCTCACAATTTTTAGTACACAAATTAAAAGCTATTAGATCAGTTTGTTCAGGCAGTGTAGGATTTCTAAGGAGCAGCTGGTGGATTTAAATCATCAATTTTGTGGTCTGCAGTCCAGCGCTGATCCTACGACACCACAGTTCCACAGCACAACTAGTCACCCTGTTACTAGTTAAAATACAAGATAAATACCAAATCAATCTTTCAAAGTGGCCCTTCTCTTTCCATTATTGTTTAGGTAGAAAAAAATGAATACATACGTATATAATATCACCAGTTTGTACAAAATATGTTGGATAAACAACTGAATCATTTAAAAAGATGTAAGTTAGCTATTCCTAACTACTTTGATATTATATAGAGATTTATCATTATTAAACTGAGTATTGTAGGTTCTTAACAAACTACATCACTTTTGTCTTTCTCCATATCTGTATCAGATTGAGAATGAAAATTAAGATTTCTCTTAAACTATCTTGAGATAGTTTTGGTAGGGAAGGCTACAGTATAGTCTAGACTAGAGAATAAATTATAACTCATAGTTAGAAGATCAAGATTCTGTGCTCAGAGAATAAATTGGAAATGCCATTTATTCTCTGATACATCTTTACCAATGGTGGAAAGTTTGTTTGGCATCTCTTCCTTCAATGTTAAAAAGATGAGGTAGTTAGCCCTCTGAGTAAATACATATGACTACAAAAGGTCATCTGATTTTTGTTTTGTCTTTATTTAGTTTGTTTTACAAATTAGATTTAAGTCTCTTCTATTGGAATGCTCTCCCTTCTTTTCTGCCTCTTAGGAATTAACTATGAGGGTAGTCAAAAAGTATTGCTATGAGGATTCCAGTCCACACATGCACAGGTTTATTCCGAACAAAATATGCTTAAACATGTCTCTGTAATCACTAGATGACTTCAGACATGTTTTCTCAGTAATACATTTATCTTAGTCTTGTTGTTTTGTTGGTGTTGTTGTTAAGTGCCTTCAAGTTGGTTCTGATTCATAGCAACACTTTCTAGGGTTTTCAAAGAGCAGCTGGTGAGCTTGAACCACCGACCCTGCAGTTAAAACTGACCTTGCAGTCCAGCGCATTAGCCCATAGTGCCACACCATGACTCCTAGTCTTGTTATCATCTTTTAATAAAGGAAAAAGGTCCAGTTACAATAGTGGCTTCTGAGAGGATCTGGTGGGCCAGTTCAAGGGAGAGAAATCAACTCAAAAGTCTATGACGACTGTTTTTTGTGATAATCTTGATATGTTTTCTTGAAGGATACAGGAAGATAATGGGGGCTTATTAGGAAGAAGTTTTCAGGATTTTTGAAAACTGCATAGGTGAGAAAAAGTCCAGGAAATTTGCATCAGGAAATTTGTTCCATCACAATGTACCTGCTAATTTTTCATGGGTAGCAAGAACTGTTGTATGAGAATTTTGTTGGGAAACTTTACTCCACACACTCGACTGTCTTCATCTTGCCCCTTCAGATTTCTTTTTGTTCCCCAAATTCAAAGAACATTGAAAAAAAAAAACACACAATTTGAGTAACTTGAGAGTCCCCAAAGTGTCATTTTGCCATGATGTACATTGAAGAGCACAGAATTCTGGGAAGGATTAGAGAAATGAGAACACCATCTTCTTGGAGATCATCACTAGCATGATGTTGAGAAACAATAACTTCACATTTTGATATGGTTGTTTAATAAAGGTTTCTATGATTTTGTAGCAATATTTAAAAATTTACCTTTGGAGTCTGGGTATGGCGCTGTGGGTTAATGCGCCAGACTGCAAAGTCGTTTGACCTGCAAGGTTGGTGGTCGCTATGGGTCAGACTCGACTCAACGGCACTTCACAACAACAACAACAATTCTTCAGAGCACTGCTGAAATCCCTTATTCTTTAAAGAATCGTCTCCCTCTCTACTTTGTTGCTGTTGGATGCCATAGAGTTCACTCCACTTCCTGGTGGACTTATGTATAACAGAATGCAATTTTGCTAGTCCTGTTTCATCTTCATAATCACGGTATATTTGAGTCCATTGTTGGCTATTGTAATGCCTTCAACAACAACAACAGCATCTTCTAGCACTATGTGGGACAATATTATATCATGATCCATACATAGGGTTTTCATTGGCTAATTTTGAGAAGTAGATTGCCATACCTTTCTTCCTTGTGTGTCTTAATATGGAGGCTCAAAAACCTGTCCACCAAGGTTACTCTGCTGGTATCTGAAATAAGGGGGCAAACTTTCAGCATCATTGCAACACGCAAGCCACCACAGTATGACAAACTGTTAGATGGTGATGGCTCTCTGTTCCATCCATCTCCTTTTCCCCAATACCTGTTGATTAACCTTCCTGGCTGTAAACATCTGGGAAGTACTAATCATAATTGAAAACAATTCATCTTTGCTAGTGACGATGTGGACCCAGGTATAGACCTGATTTAATGTCTGCCACCTAGAATTAAGTAAAATTTCATAAAACAATATTCAAATCAGCTAGATATTCTATAAACAGGCGATAATGTATCATTGAAAACCTACAAGATAAAAAGTTC